GATAAGCAGAGTTCTCTGGTCTCGAGTATTGTCAAGCTGACAAATTTCAGCTGCTCTTATGTTTCCCTTGAAAAGTAAAAGCCAAAGTCAGATTCAGAGATAGTGATCTCCTTCAAAAAAAAAAGAAAGATTAGAAATAGGTCTATTATATGTATCCTGCAAAAAGGATGAATTCGTTGTGTTGCAAAAAGGTCAAAAAGAAATGTGCTAAATGGCCCTCCTTACTATAGAAGCAGCTGATTTCTTGTCTCAAATTGTGAAGGTCAGTTCAAATTAAAACAGAGACCAGGAGAAAGATAGAGAAGGACTTCTACCAAGGTTGAACAGGAAACTGGAACTATGTTTTTACAACATTTGAATTTATTGCCTCATGTTTTAGAAACTTTTGTATGATCCAGATCCACAATCATATTAAGACACGATACAAAAAGAAAGGTGGGTGACACTGTTCAGCAGATAGTGCCTCCTCTTCTATCCCTCTGTGGCCAAGGGTGTGGCAGTGGGGATGGATGAAGGGCCTCCACACAACACACACGCTAAAGGAAAGGCTAAATACAAAGGGCTACTGATGGATGAACAACAAAGGGGCTAGGTCTAATCCTCCTTGGTAAAGAATTCCAAAGTCTGGGAGCATCCAAGATGAACCCCATCTCTCATGTGTTCATCAGGCCCACAACAAGCAGAATTGAGAGAGGGAATTTTCCACAAGGTCCTAAAATCTAAGCAGGCTTCTATGGTGGCATTCAATCTTTCAAGTATGCTGATCCTAAATTTTATAGAGCTTTACAACTCTGAATTTCCCTGTGAACTAAGTGGTAACCAGTAAAACGTTGTAACAGAGATCTTAACATGGCCCCATTAACTAGACCAGGCATGGGCAAACTTCAGCCCTCCAGGTGTTTGGACTCCAATTCCCACAACTCCTAACAGACCACTGGCTGTTAGGACTTGTGGGAGTTGGAGTCCAAAACACCTGGAGGGCCTAAGTTTGCCCATGCCTGAACTAGACTCTGTTAAATTGTCTGGCTTCAGTATTAAAGATCAGCTGATGTTTTCAAAGATGCTAAAGAAAACCCCAAAGAGAGTGTGCTATATTAGACCGGTCTCATATATACATCACCTGTACCACTTGAGCAGTCCCAAAATGCAAATGACTTGAGAACTTTATACAAATCCTTGGCTATTTTATCCCCACATGCAAAGGAAAGTAAGTTTGATTGTTGTCTTACCACAGTGGGGTAAGTAATATTTTGGCACAATATTCTTCCCATATGCAAATTTCTTTGTGCAGAACAAGCACTCTTTTTACTTGCAAAAAAAGTTTTTCTGCATAGGAAAAATCCCTACAGAGTAAGTATTGTTTTATGTGCAAAACCTGCTATTTTCAATGTGGAAAAATACATTTTCTATATTAAAAATAGGGAGGTTATAAAAGACATATGTATTTTTGCTCAGAATAATCATCCAAAACACTTTAGGGTGTGCAAATAGAAGGGTAAAACTAGAGTAGAACTTTGGTATCCATTGGGGTTTGGTTCCAGGACCCCCCTCCCCTAAATATATACTAAACGCTGTAGATGCTGTAATGCCATTATATACAATGGTGTAGTAAAATGCTGTCCATTAAATTAAAAAAAGCAAAGGATTGCGTTCGAGGATTAAAAAAAATACTTTCAAGCTGTAGGTCAGGGATCCTCAAACTTTTTAAACAGAGGGCTAGGTCATAGTTCCTCAAACTGTTGGAGGGCTGGATTATAATTTGAAAAAAATGAATTAATTCATATGCACACTGCACAGATCTTAAGTGTAGTACAAAAACACTTAAAACATTATAGTAATTAAAATGAAGAACAATTTTAACAAATATAAACTTATTAGTATTTCAATGGGAAGTGTGGACCTGCTTTTGGCTGATGAGATAGGATTGTTGTTGTTGTTGTTGTTGTTGTATGCTTTCAAGTCATTTCAGACTTAGGTTGACCCAGAGTGAGGGTGGGGTAAATTACCTTGGAGGACCGTATCTGGCCCTGAGCCTTAGTTTGAGGACCCCTGCCATAGGTAGTTGAATCCATGGAACCAGAATTCGTGGATACAAAGGTCCAACGAAACATAAATCTCACTTCTGAGTTATTCTTCACAACAAGGTTACCAGGAAACCCTTATCTCATCTAATAAATTAATAAATTTGAATATTCTTTCCATCCCTATTGTATACTAAAATGTGGAAGAAGATAGCCAGAGGCTACTTTGGCCATTACGATTGTGCATTCCCCAGCTGTCACAAACACAGAGATAGACACAGCTGTACCTGCATGCTGCCTAACTCGGTCCCAGAGTCCCTCACATGTTCTTCCCCAAGAAGTAATGCAGCTGACTGCTCATTGTAAGCAGAGCTTGCTATTTTTTACTTTATTTTCTGGACTATAGTTCCTAGAATCCTGTACTTGCTAGCAGATCCTGGGGATTGAAGTCCAGATTTCTGAGCTTTGGTTGTAGAAGACCCTGTGAGAACCAGTCTCACTTCATTCTGCAGAAGAAGAAAACTCCATTATCTGTTGTGAATCTTAGCTTTTGTAAGTTAATTTTCTTTTCTTTTTTTCCTTAAGAAATATATTAAATTTCAAATCCATGCGGATTTCTGATCTCACATGGCCCAGGCTCTGCCTTAACCAATCAGGCTGTTTGTTCTTTCCAAGGCATTTTAATAAATAAATAAGGGCAGATTTAAACTAAACCCTATCTGTCACGCACCCGTCTGTTAGCCGATGATGAGGCTACAGTGTGTAATTAAACAATCATTTATATTCTATGCAAGCCTGTGCTGAACAATAAAGTGCTCTGAAGAGCCTTGTGCTGCTGAGGCATTTAATCCCGGCACAGAAGGAGTTTGCTGCAAAGCTGCTCCTGCAGAATAGACCTTGTCACTGTGGAGCAGGGAGGGAGGGGAGCTTTATTCTTCAATAATTTGATAAGGCGCTGGAATAATTTCAGGAGCTAATAAGGATTCTGTATTTCTTGGACCACGTCCACATCTTGGGTTGCTTGCATGTCTTTCACATACTTTGCCAGGGCGGAGTAGAGAGAAATTATCTGGGTAGACAATATTGGCATCTTATTGGGAGTGATATACAGGTGTATCTTGTGTGTGTCCATATATATGTGTGTGTGTGCTAGTGGAACTCAAATTCTCCAGGTAGACCAGGGACTTTAAAACTGTTATTAAGGTGAATGGGCTCTGACAGGCAGGTCATTATGAAATTTTGGGTGCTGGAATGATTTCAGGAGCTAATAAAGATTATGTATTTCTTGGACCACATCCACATCTTGGGATGCTTGAATGTTTTTCACATACTTTGCCAGAGCAGTGTAGAGGGAAATTATCTGGGTAGACAATATTGGCATCTTATTGGGAGTGATATGCCAGTGTATCTTCTGTGTGTTGAATATATATATATATATATATATATATACACACACGCACGCACGCACGCACATACATACATACATACATACATACATACATACACACACACACACACTAGTGGAACTTGAATTCTCCAGGTAGACCAGGGACTTTGAAACTGTTATTAAGGTGAATGGGCTCTGACAGGCAGGTCATTATGAAATTTTGGGAGTAACGTGAAGTGCTTTGAACATTCAGAAGTACTAAGTTGATGCTGAGTATTTTCCTTCAAATTGAGTAGCTTGTGCTTTATACTGAGAAGTGTACCAATTTAGAGAGCACTGTTTCTTCATTACCCCTCACTGTGCATCTAATAAGTGTAGGCAGAAATCATGCAAACTGGAAGTAATTATTTGTGGCACTTGTGGAACATAGGCAGCCCATATTTGGTCTCTTGAGAAATCTCTCCCCGCTCTCTCCATTTTTCAATCTCCCTTGAATGGGGAAGATGGGGTAGATGTCATGACTGGACTTTTTTCTACTGATTTTGATGTTGTTTTGCTTCTATGTTGTGTGATTGCTTAACATTGCACACCTAAGAAATGAATCAGATTGTGAATCCTTGTATTTTCTTGATGCGGCTCCCCATCTCATAACCCTTCCAAGATAGGCAGGTACATCGTGGTCTACCCCATTCTTGTAATATGCTGTACTTCTTGAATTTGGTTTATGCAGCAGTGTAAGACTTTAATTTAGGTTTTCTTTTTTGGACAAGAATTTTCCAATATATGAAAAGGGAGGAGGAGATTTTTTTTAAAAAAAAGTGTGAGAGAAAATAAAGTTGATATCTTGCTAGGTTCCATGTTGGTGGGGCAATGGATCCAGTTTGGATTTTTGTACAAATATTGAAGAAGCTATCCAAGGTGGAGAACTCTACTGTCCAAATCGATACAGTACCTTGGATAGCACCTTTAAGCTTCAGAGCAAATTCAGCATCCCGCACACATGGATGCAAACAGTCATCACTGAACATCCATTTCTAATGTCTAATTTGTTTGTTATTTTTTAAAATATCTTAATTGAAAATGTGGAGCCTATTGCCTCTTGCATGGGGGCCAAAGTGCAACCATAACACTCATCAGTAATATCCAGCATATCCAGTTAAGAATGCTGGAAGGGGCATTCCAAGAGGAGCCAAACTTTGTCCATCCCTATTCTGTTGACTGCTCAACTCAAGTTGGGACAAAAGTATTTAAAATAAATATGCAAAATTTTCTCTCTACAAAACTGTCATTCAGCTTTGTCAACTGCAAACTCCAAAATTTGGAAACTGTCATTTTAGTGCCAAATTTTTGTCATTGTTTTGTACTATAGGTGTTTTGTTGCAAAACAAAAGTTTGGAGAGGATTCCAAATTAAAGACTTCATAGCGAACAAGGCTCTCCTGGTCCTAGTATTGTCTTTTCTTTTATCTGTTTTCTCCAGCTGTTCTCCTTCTTTTTCACATGACTGGCAGAAATAAGTGATTGCTTTTGAAAGTCTAACTTTTTATCATTCTTTCTTTCCCTGTTTCTCCCTCCCCCTTTCTTCCCCTCCAGGAACCTTCTGCATCATTTCACTGTGCACATGTGTGGCTGGAATCAACTTTGAGCTTTCCCGATACCCACGGTACCTGTACGGACTTCCCGACGACATCAGCCATGGCTATGGCTGGTCAATGTTTTGTGCCTGGGGGGGCCTTGGTCTCACGTTGATCTCCGGCTTTTTCTGCACCTTGGCTCCCTCTGTACAACCTGTCCCCAGGACCAACTATCCTAAATCCAGACCTGAGAATGGGACAGTATGCTAAAACAAACCCAAAAAAACCTATAAATATACATATTATAAATATTATATATATATAAATATATATACATAAACATATATTATATATAGATCTCAAACGGATGCCAGTGCCAAGGTAGAGTGGAGTCTAATATGGCGCCTACATCTTCTCTACAGACTTCGTATCGCTCTTGCTCTTTCTCCTGGAGGTGGAAATAGCTTCTCTTCAACATCGCGCTTCCATCTAGTTCTTTCAAAAACAAAGTCTCCAGCATCCCAGTTTAAAGTCAAGTGACCATATTGTTGCATCTGTCTACTGCCAGTTGTCAGGGGATGTGGTAGGGATGGGGAGGGAAAGGGGATGTTTTTTGGGGGGTGGTACTGAGTCTGTACAGGAAATTTGAAACAAAACCGCAACTTTGTCTGCTCCAAATTGGGGAAATACAAACTGAAAATAAATGAAAACATTCAAGTTACCTCTCTAAATGCAATCTCTTCAAGCCATCTTCAGAACCCCCCTTCCTTCACACTTTCTATTTTTTACAAAATCAGAAATCCTGCCTGTTTTTCCCCCTCTCTCTTGAGTTACCAACGAAAGGGAATGAAATAGAACTATAAGAAAGGTTTTCCCTTCCATTGCTAAACTTAAGGGAGGGGATCAAGAATCCCATAGAATAAAACTGCAAATGAAGATGCTTCGGTGGATCCTGTTTCCAACTTCCATCTGCCTTACATCTAGGCTGACCATGGAGGCTGAACTGCGGGCAGAAACCAAGACGAGAGCCCCACCAAAATGCTGTGATACATATGTGTATAATTCCCCTTTCCCCACCTTTCCCCCTTTTTTTACAGAAAGAAAATCAGTTCAAACATGGCTGTGCAGTCATCAACCAAATCATCCTCACCATATTAGTTACTGAAGGCATCAAGAGGGAAAATGTCTGTTGTGAGATTGCAACTCTCATAAATCAGATTTTGTTCTTCATCTCTGTGTGTGTGCATGTCTGTGTCTCATGGATCACCAGAAAATGCCATGTGTTGCGTGAAAGAAGGTGGCCCTTGTGGTTGCTTGGCCTTGGTTGGGTGACTGTGCAGGAAGAGCTTGAGTAGATTGTTTTGTCGTTGTTATTGTTGTTGCTGCTACTTTTTGTTAATTATAGACAATTGGGTTAAAAGCCATTGTGGAGGAGAGGTAAAGTCTGGGTTAAATGTTGCTAATAAGGGATTTCTAAAAAGTAGTGCCTCTTGTTATGTCCGTATACAGCAAAATATGACGCTAAGGGATTTCTAAAAAGTAGTGCCTCTTGTTATGTCCGTATACAGCAAAATATGACGCTTCATATTTGTGTTTGAGAGAAAAAGTCTCTTTCACATATGTAGAGCTGTAAGGGTCAGAGGCAAAAAGTGAAAATCCATTTTGCAAAGTTTTTATGACATGGTTGTGACTCTGTAACTTCCTCTCCCTTCTTCCCTCCCTCTTCTCTCCCTTCCTTCTGTTTTCCCCTCTTCTTGTTTCTTTACACCTTCGCCAGTTTTTACTGTACTTGATCAACTCTACTAACATTCATGCTAAAGGCAAATGACAAAACAACACGTTTTTTTCCAAATATTTGGAGCTAATTCCCTAACATATCAATTTAATGGTCCTGACATCTTTCCCAAGTTTTCTAAGCAGGTTGATGAATTGCATGGTACACAATTTGTGGGGCTTTCCATTTCAGAATCCAAGATTTTTATTAAAAAGGTAAAGGTTTCCCCTTGACATTAAGTCCAGTCGTGTCCAACTCTGGGGGATGGTGCTCATCTCCATTTCTAAGCCAAAGAGCTGACATTGTCCATAGACGCCTCCAAGGTCATGTGGACAGCATGACTGCATGGAGCACCATTATATTCCCATTAAAATGGTACCCATTGATCTACTCAAATTTGATGTTTTCAAATTGCTAGGTTGGCAGAAACTGGGCCTAACAGCGGGAGCTCACCTCACTCGCTCATTCGAACCACCAATCTTTTGGTCAGCAAGTTCAGCAGCTCAGTGGTTTAACCTGCTTTTCTCATTAAAAGCATAATCTTGGAGTCCTGTCAAAATTTGCCACTTCCATGTAATTAATTCCCCCCCCCCCCCAATAATACCCAGTTCCTCTCCCTCCCAAAAAAATAGTGATCCTTCGCTTCCAGTTCACCAATTTGTCCTAATATAAATCTTGTTCAGCAATTATGACAAATAAAGTGGTTGGAGAAAATTCATCATAAAAGTGGGATAAAGGGAGTAAATTTAGGATGTGTATGCTGCTATCTCATAGGTGCCTCAGATCTTTCCTCATTTTTCTCCTCCTGCAAATCATCATATGCATCTTATTCAGTATTTGATATTCAGTTCATTTACCAGCAGATAATATCAAAGATGTAGTTTTATTTACAAATGTAAATGTTTGTTAAAAAATGTCAGCTGACCAAATGCCAACTGTTTTGGTGAAACATAATCAGCAAAGGAGGTTTTGTTTTTTGTGATTTCTGTCACAATGAAGCCGAACTTTTATGCTGTTATCAAAATGATCCCAAACAAAACAGATTGTTTACCATTTTCTTTATGTTTAAAAATCTGATTCTGTCAGTTTTCATTTAAAAAAGCCCTCTCAATGCATTTAGCAACATCCAAACAAAATTCTCTCCTCCTCAGGCATGTAGCCGGGGGGGGGGGGGCCCCCCCCCCGAAATTCTCATGGTGGTTCGCGAAAGGCCTTACTGGTGCATTATTTAAACTGTTATGTTTATTCATATCATGATTTGATCACCATACTCAATATATCCCATATGCATGGGGGTATTGGGGTAATGATACAAAAGGTTTGCTAGGCTAGACCCTCTTTCACTCAGACTCAGCCCCCCCCGAAACTCCCCCCGACCCCACATAAAAACCACACAAAACACTCCCCAATCTATCTTATCTCACCATCACCACAACACCAGACCACTCACCGAAGCAAAACCTAAACTAAGAATACCAGCCCACACGTTCAACGCACCACCACACAACCCCACCAAAACCCCTCAAAAGAACTATCAACCCCCCACCAACCAACCGTCCGCCAATCCACCACAAATCAAAACCAACACCTCTCGCCAAACCACCCCAACGCAACCTACTACACTCCACAACCAACGCCCACACCATCCAAGCATACACCCCCACCACACCACTATCAAGTTCCAAACTCAACCCCACCTACCACACAGAGAAAACCCAACACACACCTTACACCCCAAGACGAACACACAACGACACCCATCATCCACCATCGTCCCCACCTCCACCCACCCAAACCCCCAATAATACACATCCAACAACAAACACACACCACTGACACCCACCACTACCACACAACCACAAGGCCCAAACCCACAACGTAAAACTCTCACCCAGACTCAGCCCCCCCCCCCGAAACCCCCCCCCCGAAACCCCCCCTGAAAATTTTTTAGCCCCCCCCCCCCCGAAACGAAATCCTGGCTACGGGCCTGCTCCTCCTGAAAGCATCCAGAAACAGCTATTCTTGTAAAGTAAGACATGGGGCACTTCCAGTTTAGAAAATAAAAGTAATTACATCTGGGGAGAGGCTGTGGTTTGCCCCCAGGAATTACCTATTACTTTTCTAGATGAATCCCTCTACAGGACATTGATTGATCCCCAATGTCGGAGTAAGGTAAAAATGCTCGTCTGAAGAACTCCTTAGAAATGCCATCATTTTGTCATTCACCTTAGAAAGAAAAGGGGAACTCACTGCTCTTGATTCTCTAAAGAGCCAGTGTAGTAGTTTGAGTGCTAGACATGCTCAGCCATGGAAACCTATTGCATGACCTTGGGTGAGTTATATACCCTGTCAGCTCCAGAAGCCCCCATGATAGGTTCACCATAGGATCACCATTAGTGACAACACCTAAGAAGGCCTTAAGACCATTTCAGAGGTCAAAACCCATTGGGCTTTTAGTTAATAAAGACTATGGCTAACATTTACTATCACAGTTATTCATAACTACTCTACATTCACAATCCCTTTGAAATAATGACCATGACACTATTGCCATGATCATAGCAGCCACTCTAGAGAAAGAGGTCCATTCTACTCATGTCCTGAGGTATGATGTTCACCTCGTCCTGCCAGTTAGCAACCCTGTTACAACCAGATGCTTGTCTCCTCTGGCAAATTCTCATCACAGCAGGAGTCCTGACCACCAACAGCATTGAGTCTCTTCTCTTGGATCAGCTGTTGCTCAGTAAAGTGAGTTGGCGGTTGGCAGTCCAGGAGACAGTACAATATGACCCTTGTATCCTTGGAACTAGTATCTGTGATTGCATTTAATCACATTTATTCACATTTCTAGGCATTTTCTGGGTCCTTCAGCATGGCTCTTTGGTATTCTTGGGCTGGAAGTCCTTCATTTCAATAAGGTTTGGGATCATCCATAGTTTCACATATCCATGTGAAGTCTGTGGACATAACCCTTGCAGATTGTACACTATTTAGTTAAGTATATTTAATGAGCTAAGTGATGTAGAATTCCAGCCCATCTTTTTAGCATCCCAACATGTGTCTCTCTTTTCTTTGTGAGTTGTATTGGATGCGCTTCAGTTTTTGCTCATTTTTTGTTGTTTACCTGAGGCAGCAACATGTCTCTTTGCAGATTCTTCAAAAGAAAACATTGGAAAACAATGGAAACTGCTTGGCAATACTTTTACATAATTTTGCTACATCATTTCCCATTTGTCAGAAGGTCTCATCCAGCAAGAATATAACTACACTACAGAGTAATGCAAAGCAGGTTTCATCTGGCTCACAGCATAAAGCTGCACTTCCATTAGACAGATGCTGTGTGGTAGAGGAGGGTGCAGAGGGAAAAGGTTGAAATCCTCCACAACAAGATGTTAGATTTAGAATTTCTTCTGTTTGGATGAGCTGAATTATTTATAGCTCCTGGGAGTCAAAAAGAAACTTAGACACCTAATTTGAACCATTACTATTTTTACAGCGCAATTTCCAGCACTTCAGTGTCTTTCTTCATGGATTTGTCATTTAATCTTCCACATTTTTTTTGCTCCCTCTTCTGATATGAATGAGTAAAAACCAGAGAACATTTACTATTTCTCCTCTCTTTGGTGATTTCAGTTATGCCATTATAAAGTGTAGCTTTTCTAGCCTTTGTCTCCAACCTCTGAAACATGCATATGTGCATATGCACAGACACACAAGTATACACACACAGCTTAAGGTAGAATAGTATTAGATTTCAACATCCATGTGACACTGTAAAATCCAGTATTTGCAGAGCTCTTCTTGAATGGGACAGACATGTTTTCAAGAAGGCAAAGCATATATGGTACTTACTTCTATCTAGTGAAATCAATGCATATTTGCCTAACTACACCTGCACATTAAGGACATCAAATTTACATCTATGTATGAAAGTAGTTTTTTT